TACTAAACAATTTTCCTTAAAGGTAAAGACTAGGCCAAGCGCAGTAGTTCATGCCTGTAATCCCAACTCTTTGGGAGGCCAAGGTAGTAGAATCGCCTTAGCCCAGTAGTTCAAGACCAGCCTAGACAACATAGAGACCTTGTCTCTACAAAAAAATAAAAAAATTAGCCAGGCATGGTGGCATACAATCGTAGTCTTAAGTACTAGAGAGGCTGAGGCAGAAGGATCACCTGAGTCCAGTTCAAGGCAGTGGTGAGCTGTGATCAAGGAAGGAAGGAAGCTGCCATCAAGGAAGGAAGGAAGAAAGGAAGGAGGGAGGGAGGGAGGGAGGAGAGAGGAAGGAAGGAAAGGCAGATTGTAGTCATTGTTCTGTGGAATTCCTTTTTCACTATGTTGATTTTTGCTTTTGTTGTTGTTGTTGTTGTTGCAGTCTCACTCTTGTCGTCCAGGCTGGAGTGCAGTGGCACGTTCACAGTCACCACAGCCTCAACCTGCTGCTGGGCTTAGAAGATTCTTCTGCTTTACCCTTCCAAGTAGCTGGAACTTCAGACACACACCACCACGCATGGCTAGTTTTTGTGATTTATTGTAGAGACAAGGTCTCACCAAGCTGCCCAGGCTGGTCTCACTAGGTTACTTTAAAACACTCACAGATACACATACACAAACAGATACATACACATTGCATACTTTGCCAAGACTGAATAAATTTTTTCCGGTTTTACTCAGTCTTCTAGTGCTTCTAATGCTACTTCTGCTGTCATTTATGGTGTATAGAGTATGGTTGTGCTGTTCTAAAACATCCAATAAAGCTACTTTTAATAGCTATAAAACTAAAATGTTTTAAAAATCAGTTTGGAATGTTTCAAAATATTTAGTTTGTTTTTTTTAAAGTTTGTAGATCATCATCTAACAGTAATTTATTTTGACTTGTTGGAAAGAGTACACTGATTCTGTAGGTTGGATATTTCTTCAAAAGGTCCATTGTAGATACAGAAATTTTTCAAAAAGTCTTCCAAAACACTGAACACATGAAATTGTTTTATATATTTCTTAATAGCACCCAAATCTGGAGAATTTAGATACTTTATGACAGTAAAAACATCTAAAACCTTGCAATAATCCCTGATAAAATCTGTAATCTTAAACATTGTTTTGTTTTTTTTTTAAAGAAGGGGTCCATTGTTTTAGACATGAATTAGATTCTATGATAGAATGGAAAATTAGTTTAAGCTTAACTTAAAATTAGGGTTAATTTCAATGTTCAGAAGCACTGTAAATCGTATCTCAAAACAAGACTATCTAAATTAGGTTCTGCAAATTCTTACAACCCATTTGTGTCCCTTGAGGATAGCTATGTCCATGAGTAAAATAAAAATAATATTATGGCAAATTTAAATTTTCTTCATGTCTTCTGATGGGTTTCAGGACTCTCTACCTCAAAATATAGCACCTTGGAATTTGAGGAAAATAGCTGAAGTAGGAAAGTCTCAAAGACCTTCTCCCAGTCTTCTTCCCTTAAGCAAGCCAAAAATGAAATCTCTGACTTTCCCCTAAAGTAGGTCATAAGATAATGAGTCCAGAGGTACCCTCCATATACCTGGAGGAAAGGAACAACCATAACCTCAGACACAGAGATACCAGTCTCTGAACAAACAGGCCTTGCTAAGTTTCCTCCAGTTTATTATCATTAGATAAGATCTCCTTTGTCCAATCATACTTCTGCATGACTATCCACTCTTTATCAAACCTAGCATAAAAATATACAGGTTTCCCTGTTTCTTTGGATCTTTTTTTTTAGATTAGAAAATATAGTTTATTTAAAAACTAAATTACAAAGAGAGAGAGAGAGGAGATTCACCTCCCCAAGGTAGGAGAGGGGGCCAACACTTAAGAAAACATGGCCTGATCATAGCTCAAAGAGCACATGGCCACCCATAGCTTAGCAAGGCAATGGCCTGGGTCTTCATTTCTAAAGGCTCCTTGCCATATAGAATTTTTATTAAATAAATGTGTGTACTTTCCTCTTGTTAATCTGTCTTTTGTTATGGAGGTCTGAGTCACAAACCTAGCAACAGGCAGGGAAAAAAATCTTTGCTCTCCTTATTGGGGCAGAAGGGCAGGTGGCAGTATATGGCAGAAGCAGAAAACCAGGATATGCGTAGGGTGATATGTAAATTCAATATATGAAAGACATATGGTGTTGCCCAAAAAACAGTAAGAGTATCAATGTATTCTGTCCAGATTTCATTAATATTTTTTTGCTATGACAGCGATAATCTTTAGAATTTTTTTTGAGTACCTCCTAAAATGCTTGTTAAAATCTATGTACTCCTTTGCATAATTTTTGTGGCTGACAACTAAAATCTCTCATAATAACTTAGTTTCAAATGATGTAATTCTGTCATGGGGGAAATATTAGTAATTTCCTGAAAATGATTACTTTTTATTATTTATTTATTTTGATTTGGGGTCTCACTCTGTCACCCAGGCTGAAGTGCAGTTGTACAATCACAGCTACTTACTGGGCTCAGGCATTCCTTCTGACTCAGCCTTCCAAGTAGCCGGAACTACAGGGGCACATTACCTGCCTAGCTAATTTTTTATTCGTTGTAGACACAGGGTTTCACCAAGTTGGTTAGGCTGGTCTCTAACCCCTGGTCTCAGACAATCCTCTCTCGCCTCCGCTTCCCAAAGTGCTAGGATTACAGGTGTGAGTGAGTCACTGTATCTCGCCAAAAAGGACTATTTTTTAAAGTTATTCAGTAGAATCTAAATACCATAATGATTTTGATGTCTATCATCGACTTTAAAAAGTACGTGGCCGGGCTCGGTGGCTCAGCCTGTAATCTCGCGCTTTGGGAGGTGAGGTGAGTGGATTGCCTGAGCCCGTGGGTTTGAGACCCGCCTGGACAACTTGGCAAGACCTCATCTCTACAATAAAATTTTTAAAAAATCAGCCGGGCATGGTAGCGCGTGCCTGTAATTCCAGCTACTTGGAAGGCTGAGGTGGAAGGATTGCCGGAGCCTAGCAGGTGGAGGCTGCAGTGGCCAGGAGTGTGCCACTGCATTCCAGTCTGAGCGACAGTGAAACTCCCACTCAATAAATAAATAAATAAATAAATAAAAATATGGCCAGGAGTGGTGGCTCACACCTGTAATACCAGCACTTTGGGAAGCTGAGGTGGGAAAATTGTTTGAGCCTAGGAGTTTCAGACTAGCCTGGGCAACATAGCTAGACCTTCTCTCTACAAAAAAATTAAAATATTAGCCAATATGGTGGTGTGCACCTGGAGTCCCAGCTTCTCGGGAGGCTGAGGTGGGAGGATCACCTGAGCCCAGGAGATCAAGGCTTCAGAGAGTTATGAACATGCCACTTCACTCCAGCATGGATGACAAAAAAGAAATATATAAATAACAATACATAAATAAGTAAAAGTAAATAATCCTTTGAAAAATCTGATCAGTTAAAAAAAGTCACAAATAAACATAAGGGCTGAGAAAAAGGATATTACAACAACAAATTTAGAGATCTTTTAAATTGTGCTACAATTAGATATAACTTTATGTCAGTATACTTGAAGATTAAAAAAAATGGACGATAGTCAAAGAAATAGAAATTATCACAATCAACTCAAGAAACAATTCACAGCAGATATTTTTAAGATATTTTTACGAGTAGCCAATATAATTACATCAAGCCCATATGATTTGCAGGGAGATGCTACTGAACTTTCACTGAATACAT